AGCAAAACCACATGTTCTGCATCAGAGGTGCTCTGTAAAAAGAGGGAGTTGAAAGGTATTTACCTATATTTCCCTAATTAAACCTGACCTGACCCGACAAACCCTAGCACATATGTACTTACTGAAATGCATATAGTGGGCATTTAAGTATATTTTAAAAGTCACCAGCTACTAATGTCCCCTCTGCTCACTTGACATATTTGTGTCGTGACAGTCTAGGCTTATTCAACGCTGACGATGGTCGCCACATACCGTGACTGAGTACTTGTGTCAAGAAAGCGAAGGGTGTCATTTGCAGTACCATTCGTCATGCAGTGTCATTCGTCAAAAACTCGGATACATCATTGACAAAAGGGCAAAACAGGAACGGGTCAAGCATACCACCCCGAATAATTACGCTTCTGACACATTTGGGGTGAGAGATAACAATGAAAATCTGAACGCACTGTGTGAGGGAATAGATAAAATATTTAATTACAAATTGTACCTGCAATTCCGAAGAAAATCCGGGGAACAAAAAAATGTGCGGCACGATTAAAAGGCTGAGCAAAATTGAAATGAAAGGTTTTAAAGTACAAACCATTGTTAAAGGCCGTAAAAATCGATCAATTATAGATAGATTGTAGGTGTCATAGAATCGATTCTTAGAGAATTACTACTGACTCGCAGTCTACTCTACTCTCCGCGAAGTGGGACATCAGCTTATTTTTGATTAAAGTTTCTGATATTTATAAGGCCGCTGGAATGATGTCTATTAACCAAAAGCCTTTAAAGACGAACAGTGACCCCTGCTTGAAGATAGGTCGAATGTGACTCCTTCTAGGATGTTGCAAAGGTATCACTTTCGAGAATAAGATTTAAATAAATTACACAAATGGGACGCAAAGAAACATTATTTGCCTAAGAATTTAAGGTACTTACCAGGATTGTTAAGTACGTTGAAAAGCTTTGCTTAGGTCCCAGAAGTAGAAGTCCGAGCCTGGAATTTCGGAAGCGGAACCACTGAAGTTTCAATAAATGGTTTGGGCAGAGCATATTGAAACGGAATGGTATTTATCACATAGTAGGTATCCTTTATTGGAATGTCCTTCAAACATGAATCATTCTTTTTTTCGGTATTTTTATATCCCGCTTTCAGTGCAAAGACTTCATTATGGTTATTCTGCTCCAGAATGATTAACTGTGATCCCGTTAACGCACGTATCCGCGCTCACCGAGGCTTCGGGGTTAACCGCGACCCTATATGATGCTTAGGCTCCGTTGTCGCCTGCCCCTATTCTGGCTTCTCCGTCGCACTCACCGCGCAAACTATTCCTTTTTAACCCTGGAGGCCTGTTTGTACACAAAAAGATGGAATTTTCCTGTAGAAATACGACATGGTTACCTCGCTTTAGAGGAATGTTGGCCAGGGTTAAGTGGGTTATACACACAGCTAGTTTCACAGCTTTTTTCAAGTGCCGTCGTAGATAACACAACGCTTTGAATGAAGAAGTACCTGAGAACCATGTACAATAAACGTAGTTTAACGACTATTTATAGACGGACTACATGAATTTAATTTACAAAGTTTTACACTAAAATTTATTGCGTTTAATCTGCCCGTGAATGATGTTGTGAAACGCGCCTGGCACTAGTAATAAGCACGAACGTCTCCAAGCCCGTAAGAGAGACAGAGAGAAGACCAGTCAGCCCGAGAGAAAGCTTACTCAGACAAGAGCATGGTACAGCGCGTCAATGCAAGTCAGCGCAAGTCCAGTCAGACACATGGTACATGTACTTTAAAGGGAACGCGAGAGACATCGTCCGACAATGGGCCAATCAGGATTGAGTAGGCAAGACTGGCTCACAGCAAGCGGTTCTCGCGACGCCGTTGAGTGCATTGACTCATCATGGGATGCGTGGCATCCCAACACATCCCCTTCAAATCTGTCAGTACCGCTCATGCCGTGGATCGACCTGTATGCGCTGCGGACTTTGGCGAGCACGGTTAGTCC